GTATGGAGCCCTACAATAAGCAACAAACCATTTCCAAAAAGCGCGCCACGACCTGAAAGAGCTCCCTTGTCAGAGAAAGGTGCCTTTAGGTTTGCATAATACGCATTAGTCATGGCACTGTGGAAGTTCACGTCGCACACGATAACATAATACATGAATGATCCTAAACTAAAGTCCTCAAGGTGTTCGTCACCAAGCAGGGGCAGATCCCTTTCTCCATCATCGCCTCTACATTGGCCATTATGTGAATCCATCCATAGCATCGCGCTCAAGGAGGATTACAGAGTTTGCACTAGCCTGAGCAGTTGCCCCTTTCCCAAGAATGGGCTCTTGCATGCAGATTCCCTAAGAATTTCGCTTTTGTGTAAGGAAGCACTCGTGTTTCAGCTCTTTGGACCGGTTCTCTGAGGTTCAGCTTGGTTTTCATGATCCTTTTCAAACTGATGGTGCTGCTCATGAGATTCGATGCCCATCGATTCGAAAGACAGTAGAATTGAGGGAAGTACCCGTGATAAGCGAATGTTGCATCCATTTAGCCGCCACTTGAAAGCAGTCCGCATTTTAAGCGTAGCTAGTAGTGGTGAAGTACGAGAGAAGGCGTGCCCAGGGATTTGACATCGAAGAGAATATGCAAAAGGAAACTCCGAAGCGCTTCTGATAGGGACCCTTCTAGCCTTACTAAATTAAAAGTACCGGCTGACCGAGCGTGGTTCGTAATCAAGGTGACGGGATATGTCACACGGGCGTGGAGAACGACGCCGCGCACCCTGGGACAAGTTGTCCTGCCCCCTTCGGAATGAGGTGTTGAAGGCATTAGTATGACAGATATCCCAGGCTAGTCTTACCTCCGCACTGTCTTGCTCGTGCTCCGTGTTTCTCCAGCCAACTAGGTGATTGTGTCTAAGCCATCATAATGAATCCTACAACTCTAACGACTCTGCAGGCGACAGCTTCCATTACATGCTACTTGGCCGATACCACCGTCAGCGGGAAGGCAGAGACACTGGCGAAAAGGAGGCGTTATCGGAGCAGCATTGCGCTCAAGCGCCCTCCCCGTGCGCTCGAGCTCCCTCCCCGTGCAAGTTGCCACAAAAACGGTACAAGCTTCCCCAATGCGGACAGCACACTACCTTTCCCACGCTAGCTTCTGCATCCCCATAGATCATCGCGCACCTTGCGTGCGTGCGTGCTTTGTTACTGGATACCGCGCCCAAAGAAGAGTGCCTTTCTTCTGCCTCTTTAGTAAATCTTCAAACGGGTCGTATTAGGAAACAATGAGTGGCTCCACGAACCTTTCAGTGTTTTCACCAATTGATGAGTGGGGTGTGAAGAAGCCAATTACGGTAACGATAGTTCTCCAGCTTCTCTCTTCTTGCAATCGGCATTTTAGATGTAAGTTCTCAACTTGTTTTGTGCCTTTCGAGGTAGATAGGTGGAACAATTAATTCAATACGGCCTATTGACTTAATAGTTCCACCTATCACCCTCGAAAGGCACAAAACAAGTTGGTAACGATAGTGATGAACGCAGACGGGATGAATCAAATTTAAAAAAGCATAGTAACGACGGGTTGCCGTTTGATGGCGAAGGAATGATATGTCCGGATATGGGTTGAGACAGCAGTCGTAATATCTGAAAGTTTCAAATGAGGTAGGCCAACGATTAGCAAATTATTACAATTTTCTTACTTTAACTTGCTTGTTTTTAAAACCGATGACTTTCTATTCCATAACGCAAGTCTGTCATCCGTCTCGGGTGATCGCTGAGGAGTTTCAGGGGTAAGTTATATTTCAGGCAGGGCAGGTCACATTTACAGGATCCCCAGAGGGGAAGGTCGCACCTGGTCGCTGATGGGAAGGGAGGGGTCGTATTGCTCTCGAAAGAGAGCCATCGTTTGTCGTGTTTTTTCCGACTTTTTTTTTCTTTTTCCCATTCCCCATGCAAGTGCTGGAGGCTATGCGGCTTCACGACGCTTATCTCCTCTGCCTCAAGCGACAACCACGCAAACTCTGGTCGTCTACGTTCTTCTGATGCTGTGCTCTGGTTGAGAAAGGGGGGGGGACGCATTACGAGGGCCTTGTGCGCGTTAACTCCCCGAGCGCGGACGGAAATACGCGTTGCAGACAGGCTGACGTACGCATCAGGACCTAATCCACTAACATCCTAATTCCAAAAAACAGTGCTACGCGCATAATGTTTATCTGTGGCATAGCGAGACTCCCATAAGTCCCGAGCAGGGACTTGTACACAGGCATGTGTGGGAAGGATTACATCCTCGCATTCAATCGCGAAAAGGTTTCTGCGTTTAAAGGCAGCACCATCGTCATTTTGATGCTTTCCACGTCCTCATCAGATATCGTCTTTGTCGACAGGTGGAGGATGTACATATTTTTCCGCCCACAAGTAACAGAGAGAATGGCCCACAAGCTTGTGAAGAGGATGCCGCCCCGCCCACCTGGCTTTCATACCTAGTTTGGCTTAACCTTCAGAGGCTGAGCCCGCATTCAAGAATAATGTTATGGAGCTCATATAATACTTGACCTCCATAACAGCGTTCAAAGTAACTTTGAAAAATTTTCAGCTTTGAAACAAATGCAGAATTTCTTAAGAATTACATTTTTTATTTACTTCTATTGGTCCGTAGTTGGAGAAAAAACAGAAAAACCATTGGAAAATACCTTTATACACGGCGATGCTGCCAGCGTGAGGCGGGCGCGGCACTCTCACTGAGCGAGCTGGCGCTATCCCCTCGCTTTTCTGTAGACGCAAAACTGTCAGCATATGACATCCTCATAGGAGGGCTTATATCAGAAGAGGGCCGGGATCTCAAATGAAGGTGGGCGTTGCCTTTCAACTCAACAGTCTTTGCGCGCTCTCGCGTGGTCCAGGAGGGGAGGCTCCGTTTGTGTGCGTTCAGAATCTAAACTTTCCGGATAGGTATGCAGAACCGCTCTTCACCTTAACCAGGTGTCGACAAGACAATGTGTCCACCTAACTCTACGCGCCAAACTAAACTGACCCTAGTGTGTGCATTCACAGCCTGACACATTCAATTTGACGCGTATTTTTTGTGGTACTGTATCCTTGTTCTCCTAATAGTCTTTTGATTACACGAGACAAAGTGCAAATTTCTGAAATGCCGTAGGCTTGGCTACATCCAGTCGTTTTCACTCCAGACGTTGGGGCGTGTCAGAGGGCCGGGTTTGGTGCAAGCCGGTTCTTTTTTGTAATACTAACTGGTCCCTGCTCCCCCCCACACACGACGGGTTCCTTCTAACGATGTTGTACCCTGGTCCAACAGAGGATTTGAAGGTAAACATTTGTTCTTCCAGATGGCGTAGACCGCCCAAATAATAAGCAACGCCACAGACACCGGATCGTTTGAGATCGGAGGTGAAGGATCCGCAGCTGCAGTAGCGTGACACATTCCCTGGTCAGGAAATGCACGGGAACGGGGTTGTAGGCATCTTGTAGGCCCGCATGCTATTTCCATACACGGCCCACCTACTCAAGTTGCAGCGCTGGCATCGAAAACGAGGCCCTGCAGGGAAACACGTACTAAGCCGTATAGAGCAGTCACAGGTGAGAGACAGCAGACAAGTAGCGCGTTTGGCTATGCCTAGGCGCCTCGCTGGCGTGCGGTGGAGTGTGAAGAGACGGCCAGGGATCACTACCATTCAGCCTCGTTCCCGTGTAATTGACCGGAGAAAAAAAACACGCTACCGCAGCTACGGACCCATCTCCTTTTCCACGGCAAGAACTTGGGATCTAGGGAGATAATGACGATTCAGAGAATTTTCTTTCAAAACTGAAATATTCAAGAGCCGAGCGAGGAAGACTCGCAGTTTCCACAAGTTCTTACCCTCTGAATTGGTGAACTTTTTCGAAACTGTAAAATTTCATTTAAGGACAAACTGTCGGAGCTGAAGAAGTCGTTTGCCAAAAATTTCATAACTTTCCAAACCAAACTGCTTAAAACAGAAGAGCCAAAGGTATGAATGAAAAGCTTTCTATTCCGAAGACTGACATGGAATTTAACTGTGACGTTTCAGCATCACAAAGTGCCTCTAATTAACGGTGAAGCGGACGAAGAAACGGTGCGCAGAATAAACGACCCAGTTCTACACAATATTGTCATTGATGTATTAGAAGGGGTCCAGGCCATCCGACAGGAAATGCTTGTGCAGGAGCATGTAAAGCGAATCCGAAGAGAATG